GAGCCACTCCCCCACAGGCTCTTGCTGGTGAGTAGAAATCCTTTCTTATGATATTGAAATTCTTAATGTTATATTTTGATCTAGGTCTTAGATGTGTTTCTTGCAGAGCAACACACAAGGGTGTATGCTTTTGAATCAGTAGTTTCAACTCATTTAAGTTATTGGATAGTCCTCGACAATTCCATTGGATAATTTTTGTATCCATTTCGAAGATTTTTTTTTAAGAGACAGACAATCACAGTGGAATAAATAACATAAATAAATAACAAATAAGTGTATATGGGACTATTACAAATAAGAATTAACAGATAACAAACGGACTACTATAATTAGATAATTAATAATTATCACAGATTTTATCACATTATTATCAATTTTTCGGATCAGTGTCTCGCTGGCTGCTCGACTCCCTTGACTTTTTGCTTGCTTCATCACCGTCTTTCGGTTTTCTTGGCTTTCCAAGCGGCCAACCTTTTTTTTTCTTGGATTTTTTGCTTCTGCTACCGCATTCTCGTCAACAGACAAAACACTCGAGTCCGTCGATTGTGTTCGTTGTAGCGAAGTTTTTCTTTTTGCACCTCTAGATTCTTCATCCATCAGCAGCAGGGCTACATCTGAATGAGTCTCACTATCTGCAACCATTGTTTGTGATGGTTGGTCTCTACTTGGTGGAGTTAGGAATTGTACAGTGTTTGTCGCAGGGACCAGCATTGCCTTCTGAATGTAACTTATCATAGAAGCTGTAAGTTGTTTCATTTCCTCGTTGACGATTTTTTTTATTTCAGGGATAATATTCTGTTGAGTCGAGTCACTATTGTGTGCAGCAGCATTAGCATAAGAGTTATTCATCGTAACTGCACTACCTACCAAACGTCTTGCTTCCGGATAAGTTACCCTCCGTGTAACTTTGATTTCCTGTATTTGCATCTCCATTTTATACATTTCACAGGATCTGGAGTTTGTAGGATGATTTCCTTTACAGTTTATACATTCAACTGGTACTTCACACGGATTTCCTTCATGCAATGGTTTTCCACATACACATACTTGAATAGGATTCTGACACTTTACAGTAGTATGTCCAAACTTTTGGCATCTGTAACAACGCATTGGTTGTGGAATATACGGCCTCACCCTTAAAACGTAGAAAGCTGCATCAATTTTTGTAGGAAGTACAGGAGAATTAAACGTAAGTATAATGTTGGGGGTGTCTACAAGATTTCCACTAATTTTCCTCTTAATTCTTTTCACCGCAATTACATTTTCATACTGAAGACCTTCGAGTATTTCTTCCTCACTGCAGTTTAAAAAATCCCGACAGTACACAACGCCCTTAGAAACGTTTAACGTTTCATGTGGCTTCACATTAACTTCAAAATCGCCAAATCTCACAATTTGCAAAAGCCTCCTTGACTGTTTGTTACTTACAGTTTTTATTAGTAACATACCTTTAACTTTTTTTATCTCGTCAACTTTTCCAATTAATCCATTAATTACTCGAGCTATTACGAAAGGGCTTATTTTGGAGAAATCTCCTTCCTTTCTTTCAATAAACAGGAACCGGGGATAATTATCCTCCTTTTCGCTGTTTACTAATGGGAGCGAGGGAAAACTTCCACTCTCTCTATCAAGTCCAGGTCCATAGCGTAAGTCGTCATACGTTCCAGAGGTATTTACATGCTCCGTGGCCTGGTTCCCTGCCACGGACGCCGAGCAGCCGCTTAATATCGACCGGGTGAGGCCTGCCCGCTCCGCCTCGCTCCCTGCCGGCTCTGGGGACAATCCGAACCCCTGAGCAGTAAGATGTGGGCGCCCCGAAGGGCTCGAGAAATTTTCCATAATCATATAAGGGGTCATTACCAATTGCATTTTATCGCTACTGCCAGCGGGCCATGGCCTTTTTTTGTGATTTATATTTTATAGGACATGAAACAAAAGACAAAGGACTAGAACTATCAAACAAGACAATACAAACGACCTGGGACAGCTTAGCTTCACCACTGCTGGCAACAGTGGCTACTGAGCCCCCCCACCACGACAAGGTGCTTCCCTTGAGGGGGAATTACTGTTATTTTGTAAAGGGAAACATCCACGGCAAAATGGCGTACATACGTTCAGTTTGTTAGGAAACCTTTACCAAAATAACGATTAATTGCGAGCAAGTTAAGAAAACCGCCGCAAAGTACTACGATATGATGTAGGTAACATGTACACATATAATTGTATAAAAAATATGGAGCGTTTAAAAAATTCAGTGCCATAGTTGGCAACAATTCGCTTAATTAGACATTTGTAAAAGTGCACTTTTGTTTGTGCGATTAATTTCTGCGTGGCCGCTGCGACTGATCATACAGTACATCGAGGAATCATTGTAACCGATTTTGTTGCCGTGATCAATTTGACAGGTCTGTCTAACAAGTATATAGAGGTTCGTTCAAGATACACACCATATAGCAAACTAAAACTCTGAATTTTTTGAATCGCTCTTGACAACGCCTGCATTCAGAGGACGCAAGCAGTTACAAATGGCCGGGTGTACACGAAGCATATTTTTTAGCTTTTTAGCGGTGTGTTGACGTTGCGGTAACAATTTGTGTGCACCAGACCACCATCTGTAACCGCTACGGAGCATTTGCGTTTCGTGAATGCAGGCAGATATAATTACGACATCAGCATACCTTTCTAGTTTCTCCAGCAGGACTGTTTGTTGAAGATGTTGAAGGACCACTACTTTCTCCCATAACAGCTTTATCTATTTTCTATAAATTAGTTTGTTAAAAACATAACCAACAATGTAATGGTACTTACCATGTTGTTGCTCTTAGAAGTTCGTGGCGTACTACATGAAATGACAACATTTTGATGCACTTCTGCTTTTGCAAATGATTTCGAACTCATTTTTCAATTCAAAATATGTGCGACGATGAAATTATATCAATTTTCAAGTTTGTAATAAATTAAACACCACTAAATGAGTTCTTCTAACCTCACAAACGCAGAAATAAATGCATCAAAATACACGTGATAACTTTGCAGTGCACAATACGCGTAATATGTATTACACATTTATAAAGGTTTTGTATATAATAAACCTCAATTTAATTTGATATTGATTTACCACAATAAAAACACGTGTTAAAATTAATACGTCACTTGGGCTGAAGCAACATTAGTCGTGTTCGATTCACGTGATTTAGATCAGTTCATTTCTTAGACCATATAGTACATGGACTGCTAATTGTAACTAAAATATGGTCAAGGACATCGCCTGGGTATGTAGGGGCAATTAGGGTAATACCGGCCAGTGGGTAATCCCGGCCACCCTCATATCTAGATTTCTGTAGCAGATTTCTGTAATTTGTATTGCCATTTGGTTGTAAAGAAGGTCACTATAACATATTCAACACACTGAGAAAAAAATATATTAATCGCAACAAAATTATTGCAACTTTTAACAAGAAATTATAGTTGAAATAGCCACAGCAAGAATTTCGGTAATAGTTACATAAAGATTACTGCTATGTTATTCTTGTTACAATTACAGTTCGTATTGTGCTTGTGAGTAAACTTCATTTTGTAACTAATACAGAGTAGTCATTTATACATTATGAAAATGGAAATGGGGCCTTGCTAACCGTTCTGTGCTGATAAAGAGAACATGATTGTCTAGCAACAAAATGGTTTGGTAAAGAAAACAAAGCGGTGCATTAATATAGCATATGATAATTGGTATTTTAAGCGTACCGTCGAATAACCAGTACCAAACAGTTTGGTGGTAAGTCATGTCGCAGAATGTGAAATTACACACGCCATCTGGTTCGAAATAACAGTTTTTCCTTGTATAGCAAGCAAGAGCTTTCTACCTGTAGCAACACACCACGATATTATAGCAACTTATTGCTGCTATTAATACAGAATTACTGAGAGACATTAACTATTTTTTACCGATAATCTCCCACGTATAGTACTGCTACTGTAGCTGAATTAGTTTATTCGTAGTAAATATCTTCACGGGTAATATACGTCCATTTATTTGTAAGTATAACATACCTACCTGGTAATTTTCACACTCTTCCTGTCCTGAAATTAATAGGCTGCCTTTCCCGCGCACTATTGATGTAAAGGGGTGCATTGAATAAATAGCAAAACTGTACAAAGATAGTGCTCGTAAAGTATATCTCTCGTTATCTATATCTACATTCGATGTCATAACTTGGGATGCTGAAAAACACTAAAATGGGATCACTACACTACGTACTTATACGTCCAAAATAACTTGAAAAATAGGTAAAATTCAATTCACGTCTTTTAATATAAGGTCGCCTATTTTCTTACCTCCTCCTACATTAGCAAGGGGCCACCATCAGAGTGAAATAGATTTTTGGCGTATTACCTAAATGCACGTTATTGTGTGAATTAAAATAATTGAAATGTTATCAAAATATCCGTGACAATTCTTTGAAATTTGCGTCGAGTGAAAAGTAATAAGAGGCACAACTTGACCTATTTACAGGAGGCTTGTTATTTGTCAAAAGGCACCGAGATCACAGCTTACCGAAATGTTACAGTCACGTATATGGTTCGAAGGTATTTGTAATGACGTTAAGACATGGCTGCCAAGCACAGTACATTCCGATCACATACGGATAGGTGATTGAAACATCTTGTTAAGCTGTGATTTGTTGTTGCCTCTTATTACTTTTCACTCAGTTACGACCAACCCTTTTTGTCCTTATGACATATGAGTTATGACCTCATATCAAAAAGCTGTGAAATATACTATACAAAAAAGCTTTGCTGTGATTGTATATAAAAAGCATTTATTAAAGTCTATAAACTCTACCTTATATAAATCAATAAATGAAAATAACACATTCGAAACTTAATAACGAATAAAACTAGGTAATAAATCCATTTTTGAAATATAAAGAAATAACTTAACTACTCAACTCATTTGCAAACTTAAAAAATATTTCGTAGGTAAAGTTAATCGGAATTATTTAAAGATATTCCCTCATAATAATATAATTTTTGCCATTTGGTGCAAAAATTAAATGATTGGGCGTGAAACAAGATAAACTGTCGTGGAATAGATAAGTTCCTTCTGCTGAGGGTTTAGGGTCAACTTCGTAGGCAAAGAAATGTTCGTCAAACCCAAGAGTAGAAAATATGAAGCATTTGTATACAACCCTTCGTTGATCACCACATACGTAAATCATATCCACTGTACAGAATGTAATTTCATTAGGTTCCATAACATCATACACAAGTATTGTTCCCTTACGATAAGTCAGGCCGTTTACTTTTACCCAAGGCACTTGCACCAATATTTCTTTGTCTTTCAGACCCAATTGTTTTAAAATCAATCCTTTATTTTGTACTGTTCTTTCGCGCCCTGATTCCCACGTATTAGGTAGAGCACCTTTTAAAAATAGATCATTCATTTGTAGCTGATGTTTAACAGCAAGCGATAAGCAAATATTTCGCCTGTTGAAAGATGCCCTTGCCGCAATCTTCGATATTCTATGCTTAGCTTCAAATCGCATTGACCACATTTTTGAAGGAGGACCCAATCTTTTAATTACAGTAGCATAGTGAAGTAAAAAGTGAAATTTCGGTTTCAGGGTATCTTTAGAAAAAAAGAGGTAAAGCTCGTTTAATTCAGCAACCACAGTTTCAAGTGCATCACAAGTAGGTAAATCAAAGAACGACGACATTAACATATCCAAAAGCGTTCGTAACGTGATATACAATCGCCACATCGGGTCATTAGTAGGAATAAAATCTCCAATTAGAAGACCAAAAAAGCGAATAAAGCTTATCATCTCAGAAGCAGATAAACGTACATTTCCTTGAACAAGATGATCCCAACTTAAGTAACAAGGCTTTGACCTCTGGTCTGGACCAAAATCAAACCCAGCTATGCGTTTATTTAACACATCTAAGGTAAAAAGTTTTAATTCTGACACATACTTGACAACTATGAAGGAAATAATATATTTTGAGCATCCTTCCAAAAAGTCGTGCATCATATCTACCGACACTTGTTGTAACAGTTTAGTTTATTTATATTCAAATTTCAAAATTACCGCTTGCTACGTTAGGCAGGATATAGGTGAGATGGCGTCACTTGTACGCGTGCTTCTTTCCTCGCGCAGAATCGCGTAATTTTTTCACTTCATTTCCGTTTTAAAGCTAACGAGGTTGTACTTGTAGAGCGTGGCATTGTGAATTCTTCTAAAACCAGTGGGTAATATTTGCCATCATTCACGTAAAATCTCTGGCAATTTTACCTGTTTATTGGCGTTGTCGAGTAGAGTAACTCAGAAGCCGTTTTCTCCGTTGTGAGGCTATATCTGGTGGAAGTTCATCGCCCTACCTACATGTAAGTGAAATGGCGTTGGCTTTCTTTTACGTTATGTTATCTAAAATTCTTTCAGATTCACAACCTCTTGGATAATTTCCATATTTCATTGATTTAAGTATTTTTCATTACCCTCCTGACGATTTCAGGTATGTTATTAAAAATCTCGTTAAGGGAGTGTTACATCTTCATTACTTTTAGGGGGTCCATGTAGTAGACGAATTCTTGTACCGGTCAATCCATGTAGTAGATCAATCCTTGTACAGACGAATCCTTGTATGTAAATGAATTTGCATCTTGCGAATATTCCGGAGTACGAACACCTGTTGATTGCCGGCAGCTATCCGGCGTACCACCGAGTAGATAAGCGCTAACACCTAAACGATACCGGGAGCGACCAGCTGATGGTGGAATTTTCGGAAGATACGATCTTTTACACAACCTTTTTTATTTGCTTCAATACCGTTAATCTAGTGTAACCTTCCGACGATTTATGATCGGAGCTTTGTATTTTGTTCGCATCAAGTGTTTGAGGTCGTGACTCTCTTCAAGAGCAACGCACCTGTATTTAACGTATGGGTAAACGAGCCGGCTACGAGTAAGCTATTTTTGGCCCTTCCGGCTCATATAATCGTTCCGAGCGTTGTAGCTTGGGGTTTGTTTTTGTGTTACAGAACTGGAACTTCGAAGGAGAGCTCTTTTTCGGAGAAGACAGCGTATGTGTTATTCAAGGTAAGATTTTTAATTTACTTGTACCCAGTGTTGCCTATATGAGTTGTTATTCGGGTTAACTTAATTCAATCTTTGAATCCATTGAAATCTTAACTACATTTTTGCTCGATCATTGTTGTAGGGGTCTGGTAACGTAATTATTAGGGAAGTGTTCATGAATTTATTTGGGGATTATTTTTTGTCATTTAAAGTATTTGTTATTGTCGTATTGAAGATACATTTTATTTGCCGATCCTGCACCGTTTTGTCAGGATTAATAAATCAGAATTGCTCGTAGTGAATTTATTATTTGGCTCTCTTGTGTTTTCCCAATTTCTATACAGGAGAGGTCAGAATTTGTGCAAAATTGGGTGGCGCTCAACTAATCATTTCTAGTGACTACCAAAGATCAAAAACTTATGTTATATGCCCAAACGAACAAACCGCTGTGGAAGATTCTCATCTCGAGCCCTTCTTTTAATTAAGAATCTGAGCTAGCTGGCCGTTTATGCGGCGGGGTTTGAGTTTTACAGCGCCGAACTAACCTCACGTTATATTGTTCGAACAAACTAAAATTTTGCACATTCAACCACACACACTTTTCCTTTACACCTGTTTCAGATATAGGTAACTTCTGGCGTGTTTGGTCATTATAGTTTTCAAGTGTTCTGAAATTTGTCTTGTCCTCGTAACATTGAAATCTTAAAATCTCTTTCTTAACATTACAAACGCGACAAGGGTGATTGGCTGAAAAACTCAGTGAAACCCAATATGGAATGCAATCCCAGATTGTCACCAATTATAGCTCCTAGCTGAAAATATACTCTTTCTTTGGAATCATTTACTTTCAAGTCGAATCCTGTGTGGAACAAGAAATTCAATTCCTCTATTATAGGTGCAAATACTACATTATTGCCAAAACTGATTCTGTCAGATGAATGGAAGAGACAGGCAAGAAATATGTGATTTAAATGTGAAGCCCACTTCGGGGGCAAACATGCTATGGACACGTAAACCGCACCTAACTTATGTACACCTGAGTGACTGCCAAGCACGTTACCACTCTCGTAATCATCGAAAAACAAAAATAAGGGGAACACAATACGATTTCCATGATTAACTTTTTGCTTTTGCCAGAATGAGCATTGGACAAAATTAACTATAAAACCTCGTTTTACCTCTTGTTGTAAATAATTGATATAATCAACCGTCTCATTATAAACATTTTTTAGAGAAAAAAATTTTTGTAAAACGCGACGAAGAGGAATTACTTGCTCTGTACAAGAAGTGGGCTCCAGAACTAATTGGCCATACTTTCTACATTCACTGACGTGTTGTCCGATGACTACTTCCTGGGGTGGAATATAAGTTTCTGTCACGTCTGTAAAATACTTTATCCTCTTATATTCCGTTAAGAAGTTTTTCATTGGCGACTCAATAATCTTTGATAACATTCCTTGTACTTCATTGACATTTTTAGAAGATATTAATCCATCTGTCTGCATTTCAGAGACGCATAAGGAAAGAGTAGGGGACAGAGCAGACTTTAAAAAAGTATCGACACCCGTGACAACGCTACCAATTGCATTTCTGGGCAAAAGATTGTTTGCGTAAAGTGATGATAGAAATAGGCTCATCGACTTATCCAAAGAAACAACTCCAAATGTCGGTTTAACTGTAGTTGCGGTATTGCTGGTGGATGCTTCGGTAATCGAGGGTATTTCCAACGATGTATGTCGGTCAAAATTAGGAACAGTGGTGTCGTCATTGATACACTCAGGTGCAGAGGAAAAGACGTCTGCATGGCATAATTGATAATGACGCCTAAATGACTTTTTTGTACTAAAAATCCGAAAGCATTCGTCTTCAGCACACTGATATTTATCGAATATATGAGTGATGTGACGAAAATTAAAATGTTGGAACAATGTTTTAGTGCTTTCACAAATATATGAACACAAAAAGCATTTAGGCATTTTGAGTTCACCAAAATAGTGTATATAAATGGAGATTAAAAATAATTATATACTATAAAGTAAACCTAAGAAGTATGTAGGTAGGTAACACGCACTATGTCAATAAATTATCTTAGAGATAATGGTAGAAAACTACAAGTTCTGTTCATTCAAATCACCTGTTTTATGTTACACACTGTTACATATGTATAAATTCACTGTTTATAGAGAATACTCACAATAGCGTAGGTACAGGGACCGAGGCTGTCCTGTAACTGTAATACGTCTCAGCGTCAACTCAGCGATAACTTCACGGTTTTTCGTTTTTTTCAAATGGAAACCCGATTTCTGATAATACAGTATTAACTGACGTGTATGAAGTATCATACGGTGTTACAAGTCCATAAAAACCTTTTTGAATGAAATTCCAAATAGCGGCAGATTCGATGGGGTATTGTGCATTAAGCGCATGGATTAGTTTAAAACATGCATCCACAGACGCCGTGATCCCATTAATGCAGTAATGGACATCATTAACAACGACGTAATAAACGGTAATATTAGAAAGTGTGGGTCCAACGATGATAATAAATGGCTGAAGTGGTAGTTTTAATTCTGCCATCTTAGCCCGTCTCCGACTAATTGTTTCACCCAGTTCAGACATCGACCTTATGTGAGTGATGAAACCAACCAGAGTTTCAATCCTTGAGGGTCTCCAAGCATTTTTCTTTTTAGTTCTCATAGTTGTTAGACTTATTATGTACGGTATGGACAAAAATACAGCCAATGAAGACTGCTCCTCTCCATCTGTAATATACACATTTTGTACCTATAGATGGATGTAGGCGTTTCACGTACCTTTGGCTAATTCCAGAAACTGATTCAGATTCTGCTTCACGTCTTGAGTAGAAGTACTTTTGACACGTTTTTGAACAACTTCCAATATTTTGGCTTTATAAAGGGGTAGAGTGTTATAAAGTTTTTCACTGTAGGTTGCATACAGGCTATTGAAGTCCTTCAGCAACTACAACAATACAAACTTACTTTGATATTTACGAACAAGTTATTGGAAATGTAAATCACCACTATACACGGTCGCTGATAAGTATGGAAACGGTCGATTATCGGGGAAAATATAAAAGATATCAAAAAAAGTTTTAGGTATACAAATTTATTTCAAAGTTGTTAACGTTTCCATTTGGTGTATAACGTATTTTGTAAAAAAACAAGAACATTTAGAAAAGTTGTAGGAAAGGTACTGCAGAAGTTTAAAGCAGATGCTCTAAGTACTTAAGTCAAATGTAGGGAAACAGAAATATTTAAATTAAGGCACAAAATCAACTCTATGTCTGAAATAATTAGCTAGCGGACCTATGTTTATTAAGACTTTTTGGCATCTTTTCATGAGTACCTACTACACGTGGATAAAATATCTATAGGATCTTTTTTTTAAAAACACCCTGTATAACATACTTAAAGTGATAACGATATAGAATAAATACCTACATAAAAATGTATACTTACTCCTCTTTGTTCTTGTAGCGCTCCAAGATCCCTAGCCCCTTCTGGCTCGGTAGGGTTTAATGGTTCCCCAGATAGAGGTATATTATTGCCACTAATATCTTCTAATAAATAATCCTCAGTTGCCCATGAGGTACTCGCAATCTCGGCAGCACCGGGTATAATCAAAGCCACATCACGAACATACTTCCAGACCATCCGCCAGTGCGAAGGAGCCCGGAGTTATAACACAGGTGCCAAGGGTATCCACACCAGACTCAAACGTCAGCTTCCCCAAGACATCTATTTACACACCACATCCACAGATGACAGCGATCAGTGAAACATGACTAATTTTCTAATAATTATCATGAGTGCAGTCGTAAATCCTAGCTCGGTTCTTTTAGTGCGGCATATGCCTTTAGTCTGTAGCATCACATAATACCTTGTTTAATCACTCAACCATGTAAAGCGAATACGCTAATCTGGTTTATAATTTAAATAAAAAAAAAAAAACCTTAAAGTAATAGAAACATCGATTATAAATTTATCAACATGATATGCCGGTAGGTTCCTACTTCCTAGCGATCAGAGCTGGGCTAACTACTTGAAAAAAGTAGTGGAATATAACTACTAACTACTTTATCAAAGAAGTAGTTTAACTACTTGGTAGTTAACTACTTTATCAAAAAAGTAGTTAGAATACTAACTACCAAGTAGTTAGTAGTTAAATGTGCAACTACTTTTTTAACTACAAGATAAACCTGCAGTTCACCATTGTGATTTAAAAACCGCGCTTAAAAATATTAAATTAAAAAAGCATCAAATGAACGAACACAAAATGATATACAATTTTTTATTCTTTCCATTCTGGTACAAAAATATAAAACTAAAAAAAACAAACATAACATAAATACAGTTCCTTTTGGTACAAAAACAAAACTAATTTTACTATCCAATAGTAATAGGAAATAAATAATAGATAAATGATAATAATACATATTACATGTGTATTTAATGTGTATGTAATAAGGATAAGGTTAACAAATTGTAATTTTGGCTCTATTTCTAAACCTACAAATTTTTCTATATCTTAGGTTTGCTGATTTGCTTTTAAAAGCACCAATTGTTCAAAAAGATTGTCACATATAGCATGTCTTCTTGACGAATTAATCAAGGTGGCAAAATTGAACATCCTTTCAACTGCAGCCGATGATGGTAAGTTGGTGTTATATCTTATAAATATTTGTTTAATTAATTTATAATCATGTAGCATTTCTTTATTATTTCTTTTATCCTCCAAATACTGTAATAGCTCTAGTTCCAATTTGTTTTTTATTAAATCTTTTTTTGTTTCTGATGTGTTTTTGTATTTATCATAATTTTTTTAATTTTGCTCTTCCTTGAAATCAAAAAAATTATTTTCAGGTTGTACATCGCTTACGATTAAGTTCTGATCGTTTTCATCTACAATATTTTCATTAAACAAATCACAAAATTTATTTATAATCTGCTTTAAAAGGGTTTCTTTATTTATGGTGGAATCAATTTCTTGATAAACATTCAACCATCGTAATTTAACGGACGGTATTGTTATTGACGCAATTATAGCCTCAAGAGAATCTTCATTTCTTGAAAATAAACCGCTGAATCGTTTTAATAACTGTGTTCCAAGTTTTTCAACTACAAATTGAAGATTTCTTATATTCAAATCACTTTTTAGTTTATCAAATTTTACTTTCAATGAAATAATGCTCGGTAAGAGATAACCATAGAAGGTATTCTGTTCACCTTATACCTGAAGGTATCATTACCATCAACTTCAATCTCAGAGTCAGACATGACACAAATCACAGGACAGTAGAACAAATGATACTTATCACAGTTATCACAAAAGAACTCGTATAAACGTCAGTTACACTTGCTAGACTGGAAAGAATACACTTGCCTAACATGGCGCATTGCACGCATATACATAATATAGGAAGTGCATAAGTATTCTTGAAAGTAGTTAAATTACACAAAAGTAGTTAAACTACACAGATGTAGGTAAAATACCTAAAGTAGTTAATACTGAGTAGTTAACTACTTTTTTAACTACTTTCTTAGAATACTTGAAGCAGACTTAAAATAATCGAGTATAACTACTAGAAGAAAAAAAGTAGTAAGAATACAACTACTTTCATAAATAAAGTAGTTAACTACGTAGTTAACTACGTTAGTAGTTAATTACTGCCCAGCTCTGCTAGCGATATCAAAATTTCTGTGAATTATTCCCGTTTTTTGGTTGATGATTATTGTTGATGTGAATCATCAAACAAACGAACCTAGCCACCAGTGATGTCTTCTTTAATAAACGAGGAGATTACGCCGAATAATGCAGGCGTTTTATCGTCCAGTCTCCAGTCAGTAAAAATACACAGAATTCAAGAAAATTTTCCTCAGCCAAACAGGATGTGCATCTCTAAACATTTTTGACTTCATTTTTAAAAATATCTTATTTTCATTGAAAAAACGGTATCGACAGGATCAACGGAAATACTGAGGGAAATTAGGCAAATACACAAATTTCGTGATATAAACGACGCGTTCCGTTGGGACGAAATTTTTCAATTTTGTATATGCTATCAGACATTCGTGGACGAAATTCTCCGCTTTTATAAGACTTTATAGTAGGTTTTAAGAAACGCCTTCGCTTCGGACTGATTCAGGATCGATCAGATTCAAAATAAATAAATTTTGAAATCAAATGGAACCAAATGGATAACTACGAATAAGGTAATTTACATAGATTCGAACCCCTTCCACTTCACTAATAAATTTCCAACAGCCCAACGTTCACTATTATCATTGAATAATTTATTCAATGCTATTATGTACATATTTTAATTTCTTTGTAAATTGTTAGAGCCAATTTAAATCCACCGGCAATGCATCTCTGTTTATAATCGATTTAAATTTACCCTAAGAAATTTACACACACTACGGATTGCACCTCGGATTGTACTTACTGGTAATGGAGACGATTGTGGAATTTCGTTAATTATCATCTTCCAGTGATCCAAATGCCCCTGAAATTGGGCTCTGTCGCCTATTGAAGGTATTAGTTCTTTTACCATTTCTGGTGTTAGGAACGGTAAAGTGTCCTTTTTTACGTTTTGTTCTGAAATATAATATGATTAAATCCAATGTTTTCTGTTCTAGATGCAAAATATCAATTTGTTATGTTTGGGGTGTAATTCCTATGTCGCCAGTAGTAAATAAAACATCTTTACATTAATTACCTAAGTACCACCTATATTTCGACGAGATGTTGTCGTTTTCTACCTTTCAGTTTCTCCCTGGGATTGCAGAGGAAGACGCGTAAAAAATCTACGTGATAAAGATGTTTTATAAACATTAGGTAACAGCATTCATTGCATAGGTACATTTTATTCAATGGTAACAGGTAACATGGAAATCCCAAACCCAACAACCTTTCTTAGTCAACGTTTTATGATAATGAAATACTCGTACTTACGTTTGAATACGTCGACATACTGGGGCAAACCCCACGTATGCAAATACGCCACCACATCTTCATCTGCCATTTGCGATACCGCACTAACTTTCAAAAACACTAAAAATAACTGTTACTTATGGCCACACTTCAGAAACGTTCGCAAATCGCAGTAACTAATGGCTGGTAAGCATAAGAACGCCAGAAACTACAGTACCTACTGCACGAACTGCGAAGGGCGAACAATGGAAATTCAACATCCTTAACAAAAAGTTGGATATTATTACACTGACGCTAATGCTTATAACAAATCACATGTAGGAAAAATACAGTAAAAATTGTACAGTACTCACTTTGTTTGTAATAGTAAACGAATGCTTTATTTTTTCCGTGCAGCAATACTTTTGCTTCCATCACACTTTGATTATGTGGGAGTAGCAAACCTAAATGTTATGAATGCAGTATCAAATTATAACTTAATACCTTTGTAATAATAACTAATCGTGTGATAATAAATTCATACCATTCGGTAATCACAACTAAATGTATTTTACCGTAATGGGGGTGCGTTCAATACTTCTTGGTATACAACCAACACAATTTGTTTTTGTAAAAATAAAGAAAATTTTGCATCTATAGCAGAATACAAAATTACCGAAATTCTGGTAATATTATTTCTTTCAGTGCAAGTAGTTTAGATGTCAAATGCGAATTGGCGCCAATATAGCGTAAAGAGTGAGTAACAGGTTAACGTTATAATCTTTTGCATCCAAAAACTAAGGTAAGCCATTGAACTATTTTATTTTTGGAGTTGTATTTTATTGTGAATGAAGCTTCTGATCATGCCTGAACACTACACAGTGTTAATAGCACTTAATAAATGACATTGTTTGATGCAGGTTAGAATTTCATTCGTGCATGCAGATGGGGAAATACCGGCCGCAATGGCCGGCATTAACCGACATTGGCCGGCATTACCCCGTTGATTTTATTTCGCTACAAATATTGTGGAATTGATTTGCAGAATGCCCAGAAAGTACGTTAGGGTCACTGAGAGAACTAGATGGGATGAGAATGATATGAAAAGAGCATTAAAGGCGGTAAATGACCGTAAATTAGGCGTTCGCAAAGCAGCGAAGCAGTTCAACGTGCCTTATTCCACCTTATGGGACAAATTAAAACAAGGATCTTCTACAGCTAGGATGGGACGTCGTACGGTTTTTACTATGGAGGTTGAATTACAAATCGCCGATCACGTTAAAATGTTGGCAAGTATGTTTTATGGTTTAACTAAATTAGAGCTAAGACGCGCATGTTACGAATTTGCCGAAATCAACCAAATCAAACATCCTTTCAACAAAGAAAGGAAACTGGCTGGAAATGATTGGTATTATGGCTTCATACGTCGACACAGTGGCATATCTTTGCGAAAACCGGAACCAACATCTTTGAATAGAATAAACGCTTTCAATAAAATTGATGTTCAGAAATTTTTTGAGAACCTAAAAATAGTTTACGAAAAACATAAATTTCCGCCAGAGAAAATATTCAATGTCGATGAGACCGGCATCACAAATGTTCACGTGCCTCAAAAAGTTCTAGCCGCAAAGAAAATGAGAAGGTTGGGGGCCATTACAAGTGGAGAAAGGGGCAAAAACATTACGGTGGTGTGTACCATGAGTGCATCCGGAGGATACGTTCCCCCGTTATTCATATACCCAAGGCAACGGCTGCCACCACATTTATGCAAAGATGGACCCCCTGGGTCGATTTACAGGTGCTCAAAGTCTGGGTGGATGACGGAAGATTTATTTTACGACTGGTTGGTTCATTTCTCAAAACATTCCCATCCTTCTGTAGACAGCCCGGTGCTGATCATCATGGATAACCATACGACGCACACAACATTGAAGGCTTTTGAATTCTGTAAGGAAAATGGGATCGTTGTTGTGTCCATTCCTCCACATACTTCCCATCGGCTCCAGCCGTTGGATGTCACATTCTACGGCCCACTAAAGACCGCATACAATCAAGAGTGTGGCTCGTTTTTGAAAGTGAATTCATATGAGAAAATTTTACAAGAAAATGTAGCGTCATTATTTACAAAAGCCTACAACCGTGTGGCGACAATTGAGAAGGCAGTGAAAGGTTTTCTCTCAACTGGAATATTTCCTTTTAATGAAAATATATTTCCTGAGGAGGAATACACCTTGTCCCAAGATCAAGATCAACTCCAGGATCCTCCTATAGGTGATGATGAGCATCAATTTAGATCAGCTACACCCGAGAATGTAATTCATGATGGGCCTTCTACTTCAGGATTACCACAAAAACCTCCCGCTTTAAAATATAAAAAACGACGCAGTTCTTCCGATTCTGACAGCAGCGCCATCTTAGAGGAAAAGTCGGATGATGAAGATTTTACTACTGACAAGACTATAGTTTGGCCTATATCTAAAATTAGTCCTGTTCCATTAAAAAAACCATGTTTAAGGGCAAAAGCAGTCCAAAAAAAGAACTCCATTATATTTACCGCCACCCCTAATAAGGTAGAGTTAGAAGAACGCGAAAGAAGACGTAAGAATAAGGAAGAGGTCGACAAGAGAAAAACGGTCAAAGTACGTCTAGAAGCAAGGTCAAAAACCTCCACAGAGACCAAAAGTAAGACTAAATCCAAAACTGTCATTTACACGGAATGTAACATACAAGACAACTCGTGTATGTTTTGCAGTGAATTTGGAAAAGATGGTGAATTGTGGTATGCTTGCACCAGTTGTGGAGAATGGGCGCATATGCAGAATGCACCGATGTAGAGAAGCCAGAGGGTTATACTTGCGACAAATGTCGCTAAAACTAGTGATCGGTATTACCCTACACTATGATCGGCATTCCCCAATCGCGTGGGGTAATGCCGGATTTGCAACAATT